TTCCTATTTAAAACTTGACTCTTCTGTAGTTACATCGTGCACTAAGACCGACGGAAAATGTAAAGTTGCGATTTTCTAGGCTGATATGGCTAGGAACTATACTCTCATTCCTGCGTAATAATCAAGAACCTTTACTGCCGTACCATGAGAGCAGCAGGCGTAATGATATGACGCAGCGCCTGAAAATAGTTCCGTTGTGTTGACGGAAGGAGCCTATTTTCAGGCGCTGCGTCATATCATTACGCCTGCTGCTCTCATGGTACGGCAGTAAAGGTTCTTGATTATTACGCAGGAATGAGAATATAGTTCCTAGCCATATCAGCCTAGAAAATCGCAACTTTACATTTTCCGTCGGTCTTAGTGCACGATGTAACTACAGAAGAGTCAAGTTTTAAATAGGAAAAATATCGAAACTCTTTGGTCATTTTTTTTTTTAAAATGCTAATGGTCTTGTCCACTTCAATGATGTATGCTAAGCTATGCTAAAAGTGGTACCGCCAGAACCGGAGATCGGCTGAATGGATTCAAAAACGGTAAAACTCAACAGTTTAACTCTGGGGGAGTTGTAAAAAGAGCCTACTTCCAAAAAAAGTGGAGTATCCCTTTAACAGGCTTTGTGAAATTCAGTCAAAAATGGCCTTCTTTGACTAAACGTTTAGCTTATAGCCGGCACATCTCATGATGAGCAAATCAGAAGACCTTCAGCACAGACACCTGTAGTGACACTGAAGTCTATGCACAGGTTATAACACATGGCCACCTCATCATGTGCGCATCTCATATGGGTTGAACAACATGCAAACATCTGGATTACACACACTCTCAAAATAAATGTCCCGACCCATCATAACCAACTAAGTTGGTCTAAATTCATCATTGGTATACCTTGGCACAGCTCCATAAGTGTCTTTCCTCAAAAGTAGTTTTATTTTCAATCGGGCAGTGATCGGATCACCTCATATAAAGTAAATGAGCTGAAAGCAAACTTGTTCACTGTCGAGTTCACACTGCAAAGAGCCAGTCTCACCCCCTGTCTGAAACCCTGTTACCCCGGAGCGGTGTGAGGGATCCGTCTCTCTTTCTGGCAGCCATGGCTATGATTAAAAGATGAGCACACTTCGATTATTCATATAGATCCTTCTGCTAGTTTCGCTCAGCAATACCGTGATTAAAACCCACCCAACAAACATGTGCAAGAGTTGGGCCCTATATGGTGAATACCATAGTATCAATTGCTAGAGATTTGTGCAGAGCCGTTTAGAGGGGGAATCAGAACCTCTTCATGTTAGTTGTAAAAATGTGAAAATGTCCCAAAACGTGCCCCTCAAACCAGCAATGACGTGGAAGACCTTGTTATAAAGGGGAGTAACGCCTTGGACATTCGGCCCAGCCCAAACATTCAGCTGTCCAAGGACAGGCTGCCGAACACACACGCAGTCTCTGGGAGGAGTGTGTGAGCTGGTGGGGTTTAGTGTGCTGTGAAGTGGCAGAAGTTGACATGATGGAGAGTGTCAGAGTCAGGCCTGTGAATGTTTAACTCTCATCTCTTATTCACTCGCAAGCTCCGCCATCCCAGAGAACGCTGATTTATTTTGCATGACAACCATGAATGTTAAGTGCGACACATTAAAAAATGAAAATATCCCTCCGCCTTCTCTAAATGTTATTGCTGTTTAGCGGAGGAGGCTTTTCCCTGAAGATCTGACGCGAGTCTGAGGTCTGCACAGACCGCCCATTTTACCAAAGCATAGAAGTATATTTGAAGAGTTCAGATGCAAAAGCCTCTAAAAGCCATCTGAAATTTTCTTCTAAAATGATCATTTTTATCAAGCTCGTATATTTAAGTTCAATAATTTCACTTGAATGTCAAGAAAAATTACCCATTAATTGTCATTTAAGTGAAATTACTGAATTTAAATATACGAGCTTGATAAAAAATGATCATTTTAGAAGAAAATTTCAGATGGCATTTAGAGGCTTTTGCATCTGAACTCTTCATATCCCATTCATTTCTCTACAGAAATTTATAATAATTCTTCAATAAAGAGTTTTAAGTCTTGAAACACACCCACCAAGATGAATTACAACCTTTGATTCAAAATATTACAAATACTAATACGCCAGCAAGTTTTACTCGCTTTAAGTAAATCATGCACAGAATGTAATCATTTGTAATCAATCGTTTTATTAAATAGTGTGCACAATAGAATTAATAAGTCGTGGGAATTAATTCTTAATTACTAAAACAACTAAAACATGGGAACGAATTAGTAAATCATGGCCGCAATTTACTAAAATAAGAGAACGAATTCTTAATTCATGGACAACATATTTATATATTTGTCATATGTGGGGCTCCGTACATAGTGGACTGCCACTGCGAGTTCTGTTTCCATGGCAACACTACCCATAATCCCAAAGAGAGATCCACCGATCGGCAAAAGGCAGACCAGGAACTCCACCATTAAACATGTGTAACGTTTCGGTGTGGTGAGCAACACACACAAACGAGGAGTACTAAAGTCTTTAAACGCAATAAAAGACTTTAAAAAAACGCAACTTTGAGGAGACCAAGTGAAACATGATTATGTATTTCTGCTCAGCTAGCGACACTGGACATCAACCTCGCGGCATACGCTAATACCGTTTCATAAACGGCTTTCTATGCACAACAGGTCTATCTCTTCTGCTTGCCTCTGGCTCGCTGGGAGTCGACCACAAACATTCACTCCAAGGCCTTTTATTCAGGGAGGAGCAGTTGACACTGCTGGAATTATTATTATTTTTTTCATTTTGTGGTCGGTTATTCTGTAACGTGTCGGTGTAGCAATAAGCAACACGCCAGAACGACACTGTAAAAAATGTTACTGCTATTTAATAAAAAAAATTATGGGAACAATATTACACATCATATTTTTGAGTAGTTAAGGCTTGATTTCTTTCATGGAATCTACCTGAATAAATCATGTAAAATCCCCTTAATTATTTAGTCTATGATACAATGAATTTAATATTTTTAGTGAAATATGCTTTTATACGCTCAAAAGTGTGTGAATTCGAGTGAATGGAAATAACCTGTTTATATTTGACTGAGTTATATTGCATTATTAAAAGACTGTATGTCACTAGCACAGCACATAACCAAACTTGTTACTGCATTAGTATTATAACTGCATAAGTTTTTACTCAACAAACACGGCAACATGCTTCAGAATATCATGCAGTTATTCACACCCTTACTATAATGCACAATGGTAACGATCAAAACTTCAACATAATAGAAACTCTTTCAAATGTCAAACATAACTGAACATTAAACATTAACAGATGTTTCCCCTTACTCAAAAACACATAAAATAACACTTCATTTCAATATTTCCTCTCCATTACCAGCCATGTGCAAAGCATGCTGGGAACTAACAATGGTGTCTCTAAATAAAACCGCATAATTGAGCTAATTCTCTTAAAATAAACCGGTAGCCCTTTTTCCTTCATTTTATCAGGTTCCTCAGTTCAAAGCCTCAAAATTGTGTGTTTCCTTAAAATATTTAGGAAAATGTATCTCTTGGCTTTATTAGTGAAATGTTCTCAATATTTTCTACACAACACTGAACCACAATTTTCTTAATAAAATATACACAATATTTGTAATTATCACCTTCATTTCTTTAATGAAAATTACAAGACCCATGATTAACTTTTTACGAATACAGTCTTTAGTTATAAATGCAGGAGTTTCACCAGTCCATTTCATATGCAGTGGAAGAAAACATTGATAATGAAAGTAACGATATGGCAAGTTTTCCTCAGTTTTTAGAAATTCTCCTTGTGCACCTCCAAAAGAGTGCGTATAATCTCATCTAAAGTCTTGCAGTCAGCAGCCGAGGGGCTTCAGGCGAGAGGGGCTCTAAATGGTATTCCCATAACAGCTTAGTTGATGTATATTTTTAATATCCAGCAATATTACAGGCTCCTGTAATAAAAAGAGAGACGGGAGCGCTGATGGCAGCTTTAACTGCACATGAAACAAAATCTCCCTTTATTCATTCCAGCGGCCGTAGAAACGCACCACGTCACTAAACAAACCAGGACAAATATCTCTCTTCATATGTGATGTTCACAACATGCGAGGAAATGGTATCTTTCACAAACAACATGAATGTGTTTCATCGCCATTCCATTGAAGTAAGAAAGTTTCTGTTTTGAAAATGTAACATTGTAGTAAATATCTTCAAATCAGGTAAACTTTTTATCAAATTGTAAATGGTCGTGGGGTTGACAGTGCGAGTCTCTAAATGTCCCGTTCAAACACACACAAAATGTGATTGTTATTGCAGTGATTTTTATGTTTCTATGATGTTATGTGTTTGGCAACAGTTCTTAACTCTAATTGATGGAGTGTGTAACTTTTAATTTCTTAGAAACATCATGGCCATATTCCAGGATGAATATGCCGGGATTCATCAGGCTCAGATTGTGAAATAATGGTTGTGAGGGAGCATGAAGAATCATTTTCACACATCATGAATTGGGACATCTGAGTTTAAATTGATTGAAAGTCTTTGGGATGTTCTGGAGGAGGCTTTACAGAGTGCTGGACTCTAGCATTGACAATACAACATCTTCACCAAACATTGCAAAATCATTTAAATGTAATTTTTTCTCCCATCTCATATTTTTCCCACCACCGTAATTGCATTTCCATTTGTGCACGCTTTTATCCAAAACAACTTGCAGTGTATTAATGCATCAATATAAAGATGTTATATTTCGTAATACTACAAAGAGAAGCTGACAACACAGAACTGGCATCTTTTTAAGGACAATAAAAACATAAGTAAAATTAAAATAATTTTGAGATTAGAAAATTCCTGTAGTTAGGGCTTACATTTAGTACAGTGAACAGTAAATGCATGTGCATACGACAAAATACAGGTACTTTACTACAGTTTAAGTCCATAATTGAAAAATCCATTATTCTTAAAATATATACCTTATTGTGTGTGTGTGTGTGTGTGTGTGTGTGTGTGTGTGTGTGTGTGTGTGTGTGTGTGTGTGTGTGTGTGTGTGTGTGTGTGTGTGTGTGTGTGTGTGTGTGTGTGTGTGTGTGTGTGTGTGTGTGTGTGTGTGTGTGTGTGTGTGTGTGTGTGTGTGTGTGTGTGTGTGTGTGGTCTACTAAAACCTGGGCCGAAAATGTCTTCCGAGAAAAGCTTTACATTTAAACAAGAACGTAATCAAGGCAAGTAATATTTCTTAACACACACAAACAAACGAGGAGGCGGACCGTGGAGCATATGTAGCTTTTAATGGTCTTTATTGTCAGTTCAATGAAGCATATAAGTGGAGTTAAGAGCATGAAAGATGATCGTTTGATGGAGAGACTCATTATAGTGCTGAGCAGTCAATGACCTTGGAGCCAAAAAAGGGGTAAATATTTATATATTTTTATATAGTGCGTAAATCTGTACTAATGACAATCACAGATCATTCAGATTATTTCAGTGCACACACATGGCAAGTGACCATTAAAATATTCTTGGCAATTTGGACCAGCATTTACGGCTGGGTGTGTATTAAGTATGATAACTCCATTTGTGTTTTCCACTTTGATGGCCATGTTGAATATGATTAGTGTGTGTGGCATATCATGCCGTATGAATACGGAGGCTGCAGCAGCAACTCTGGGTGTGTATCATCCATTTCAGCCCTCATTTTATCACCAGTACAGGGGCACCCTGGGAAACTAGGCCACCTCGTCACGTTGCCACGCCTGAATGGGCCATCTACCCCCTTCTCACACACACACACACACACACACACACACACACACACACACACACACACACACACACACACACACACACACACACACACACACACACACACACACACAAACACAGCCTTCCCTGTGCAGGCCAATGGAATGAGGTACGTTCTTTGCTAGGAGGGGCAGCACGAGTGTGTGTGTGTGTGTGTGTGTGAGAGAGAGAGAGAGAGAGAGAGAGAGAGAGAGAGAGAGTGTGTGTGTGTGTGTGGTTGGTGGAGTGCAGCAGGCTGCCATGCAGAAGCAATTCCCCCCTTTTCTTGCACAATTGGTCACAGTCTGAGCATGTGCTCTCTCTGATGCCGAAGACGAGGGAGCGCCACCAGACCCACGCGAGGAGGAAGAGGACGATATAAAGCAAAACCCACTCTCTATCAAGCCTAATGACTGTGATCGAACATATATTCTCTCCACTTACACGACACACACAACAACTACAGTACATAATATCTGCATAAATACTAACTATTTACTGTAGATTACTAATATATATATATATATAAATAAACTTCTTTTAGAAGCTAATAATTTGTGTAAGGTAATATGACTTCTATTTATTTAGCAATTTGTCTTACAAACAATTTGTCTTAAAGGAGTAGTTCACTTTAAAATGAAAATCAGCCCATGATTTACCCTCAACTCATCCTATGTGTATATGACTTTCTTCTTTCAGGCGAATACAATCTGAGTTATATTAATAAACACCCTGATGCTTCAGAGCTTTATAACGCAACCATCAGATTGAAGCTCAAAAAAGTGCATCCATCCGCCATAAAAGTGCTCCACACAGGTTAATATATGCCTTCTGAAGCAAAGCGATGAGTTTGTGTAAGAAAAATAAGCATATTTAAAACTTTATAAAGTAAAATAACTAGTTTCCAGCCAAACATACAGATTCCACTTAAGTCTAAAGCGCAACTTATGCGAGTAATGCGACGTACTGCTGATATTTACGCTACGCTACTTCTGACGTCACACGTCTGTCGTAACTTGCGAGTAGAGACTGCGTATGGCCGGAAGCTAAAGTTTTTACTTTGTAGCGTGTTAAATATGGATATTTTTCTTACACAAACTCTTGGCTTTGCTTCAGAAGGCCTTTATTAACCCCCCGGAGCACTTTATAATACATATATATAACTTTATATAACACTTAATAATGGATGGATGCACTTTTTTAAACTTCAATCTGATGGTTTCAATCCACTGCCATTATAAAGCTCGGAAGCGCCAGAGTGTTTTTTAATATTACTCCGATTGTGTTCGGCTGAAAGAAGAAAGTCATAAACACCTAGGATGGCTTGAGGGCGAGTAAATCATGGGCTAATTTTCATTTTAAAGTGAACTACTCATTTAAGAGCAGCAACAATTATAGGATGCCAAGCTAGGATAGTATTCTACAGAGAAAAACTGAAAAGAAAAGATAAAGATTTTTTTATTAATAATTATTTTTAATCATATAATATTTTTGTATTATTTATTTTAGTATATTACACGTATTTTTTGCTTAATTTTTTGAGGATTTTTTTTTTTTTTGACATTGACATTAATTGTGTGAACAGGTAAAAATGCATTTATACGAATTCATGAGAGAAGCAGCAGTTTCTGAATTATGAATGAATCGTCCTTTTAAGTTTTTTTTTTAATGAATCAACTGATCCACTTCACAAAACTCGGCTAAACCACTGAGTTGACTCAGTGAATTATCAAGTAGAAGAAATGATGACCGAATTTATATTTTGGAGGGAATTATTTCTTTAATATGTGTTGCTTAAGTAAATGTATCTTTAGGAACATTACATATGTTTACTAAAAAACAAGGAAAATGATCAATGTATTTGACCACTTTTGCAAAGGCCCTGAGTCACAGATCACTGAAGATAGAAAATATCAACAGCACCAATACATGGATACTATTTCCACTATGACCATTCATACAGCTCTTCAAATTCTGCACAATTTAAACTGAAATATTGTGTAAAATAAGTGTTTTATGAAAATTGATGAATTGTATTCATCAATTTTGTTTACACCTTGCTAGATACCAGCTGTTGCCAGCATAAACCAGCCCGGACCAATTCATGCTAGTTCATGCTGGATTTTTCAGTAGGGTTTATTAATTCATTTGTTTTATAAATTACTGCATTTTACTGGCCATCCCGCTCTTTAAATATCAGTGTCAGCAACCAAACCATATCGAAGACTACTCAGAATACTATTTTCATGCACAATTTGACAATTTCACAAGCAAAATAATACTACATTTTAAAGGTGCAGACAAATAAAATGTTTCAGTTATGGTGTTCCCCAAGGCTTTGTCCTGGGCTGCTCACACTTTGACGCCAAACGTAAAATGCAAACGTTGTATGGACTCCTTCTATGGTGCTTTTTGTCATTGAAGGGAGCTCAACAGCTCCTGCCCCAAATCATTTTCATATGCAGCATAAAAATTCTTTCTAATGTCTCTATTTATTTTCCAATTATCAGTAGTTAATTTTTGCTCATCTAAATTGGTGGTGATGTTTAGACCAAAGGAATGTGACGTAATGTGAATACGAGTGGCACTGCTCTGTTGGTTTGGTCTTTCCCTCATGCCAGACTGGGCATAAATGCTGTGCAGTGGGTTTAATGGAGGGGATGTAAGTCTTTGCCTGCTCAACAAATAAACAGTTCACCAAGGAGCACAATACCGTATACACAGCAGTCAACAGGGCAGAAGACCCTCGGGCTCAGACACACACACACACTACTAGATAGGGTGGCACAGACCACACACACAAAAAAAGTTACACAAACAAAACATTTAGATACATCACAATCACCATTTCATTCATCACACATTTGGAGACACACACACATGCACTCCACACGCTTCACTTGACAGGGTCTTACTTTTAACGGTGAGGTACATGCTCTTGCTGATATCGGCTCCCACGTCATTGCTGACCTTGCACAGATAAAATCCAGCATCTTCCTCCAGGACGTGTTTTATGAGCAGAGAGCCCTTCTCCAGGAGCTGGATACGCGAACCCGAATTCAAGGCGATGGGCTGGAACTGAGGTACGCCAGCACCTGTGACACAAACCAGAAAAGGACCAATGTAACACTGCATATTAGGAAATGTAGTATATTCATTATATTTAGAATATTATACTAAATACTTCATCTTTATCACATCTAAAGAATCTATCAGCATAACAAAAATGACTGTTTCATTGCTGATATATGTATTACTGTAATCTGGGACATCTGATAATCCATCAGCATTACACTCTTTTTCATGATCAATATCAATTTGATGATGTCTTTATTGGATTTAAAGATCTGAGGGGAATTGTTTTGTGTCATGTCTGGATTAGGATTAGGATACTGTGAGATTCAATATTATGAAATAAAACATAATACCACATGAGCAACTTAATCTGCCAAAGCCATATCAAAATAAAGTAATCTTGACTGTCAACGTGTGTAGAAAAAAGGAACACACTTTCAGCATATACTCTTTTTAACATCTCTAAATGTTGTATATAGGATACTGTACCTGTTATAAATCAATAGAGATCGTTAATTAGTCTTAACATTATTCCTGTAATGTTAAATGTGAGATATGGGAACTATGAGATACATATTCATATATCAGCCATAAAAGCCTTTCAGATATGATACTAAAAAATACGTATGCTTTTTAGATAAAAAAAACAAACAGTTCCATTTAAAAAATATTTTTTGGACTATTATTTTATGTGAGGGTTAAGAAAACGCTAAAGGACACTCTTAATTCAGGGAATCTAGTCATTTGATTTCAGAGATTATGCACGAAAATAGAAGAAAAGTACTCTTTTACCCACAATGCCACAATGCATTTCTATCCCCTTCAACCTCATAGACTCCATCTAGCCCTCTATTCTTTCAACTCCACTCGCCCAATGCGCAGCCCTCTTTTTTGTCGTGTATATGGATTTCCATTTGTGAGCTTTCATCTACAATGTGTAGAGAGGGCTTCAAACGCTCCTTCTCCTTCAGGAAGAATCAAGGTCGAGCGAGTCACCTGCTCCCATTCTAATCCAGTAATCCAGCTTCTCTGGCCATGGCCTCAATGGAAACATACACCTGTGCCCAGCCCACCTGTCCACATAACCCCTAAACCACATCACTAGCAAAGCCTGACTGGAATGACGTGCGCTTCAGGAGCCCCTTCATTACAGGACCCCACCTTCCCTCTGAGATCTCACAGCAAAAACCAAACACAAACAATGGGCTAGTGAGAACCAAAACCCCCTTTTTTTTATAGTATAACGACTTTAGAACAGCAGCTATTTATGGTAATATTTCTTCATCCCAAAATACAATGATTTGAATTAAATCATCACAAATGGCAGTGTTTTATAAAATGAAATACATGTAAATGTATGTTGTTTTTCCAATAAAGCTGCACCTCAGTGCCTGCCAACATCAACACACCCACAGTGTTTACTGGGGATTTGATGACTAATGATGTAAAAAGGGGATTATTATTAATAATAATAGCTGGAAAACAGTTGAAAAAATTTAATATTTACTGTATATTATTTTTGAAGCAATGCCAAAAATACTGAGCCTGCATAATTATGATAGGAAAACAATGCAAAAACATGTCATAGGCTTCATTTTTGTTTAATGCAAAATTAAATTTCTTATTTTTTTCTTTTATTTTTGGAGAAAACCGGGACCTGGAAATGCGTTTGTGAAGAATATTCCATTGCATCTTTACCCATAGACGGTCATATTTAACAGGAAATAATATATAATTATATATTTCAAACACTAGCATACCTTTGGAGTGGTTCCATACTATAGTGGGGATTGGGTTTCCCTTGGCTGAACAATTCAGGATCACCGACTTCCCATATATGCCGTCCTGGTCTCTTGGCTGAACCTCAAAATGTGGTGGAACTGAGCAGAAAAAGAATGTGAATATTAAAAAGATGTTATTATAAAATGACATTGATTTAAATCAGGGTTTAGAGACTTTTAGAACAAAACTTATTGTCAAAAGTTGAATAAATTCAAAGAATAACCCATGTGAACTCAAACCTTTGACGATGAGCTGTATGCTGTGCTCGACGGCTGCAGCCTCGTTACGGGCGATGCAGGTGTAACTGCCGTTGTGAATCTCCGACAGGTTTGAAATGCGCAATGAGCTGGTGAAGTCTATGTTGTCGATGGTGACACCAAGGCTGGCATTAATTGGTCGTCCATCTTTGTGCCAGGTTATAGACATGGGCAGGTCGCCGGATATGACCACACAGGGGATGAAGACACGCTGGCCGATGGAAGCGCTCTGAGAGTCGGAGTGTTGGATCAGAGGGGGCACTGAGAGAGAGAGAGAGAGACGATCAGAAACACACATGCAAACTATTATAATATAACACAGCAAACGTTACAGTACACTGGGGTAAAATAACCCCATATTGATTTATATCAATGTTTTGAATTTGAAAATGGCAAAGCAAATCTCAATCAGTCGGTACTTTAAAAAGTAAACTGGATATTTAATTGCACTACTGTGCTGACTAATGTTAAGGTAAGAACAAACATTTTCTCAATGTATATAGTTATTAGAATATTAATTCATATGTTTATACGGTCATTATACTTGTTAGAAAATATTGATTTGCCATTTTGAAACTTTGACCTTAAAACTGTGCTGCGTTATATTTTTTGTTGATGATTTGGCATGCAGTTTTCTACTTTACGCTTTGCCCACCCTGTTTTATGAACGCCGGCCCACCCAGTTGAACAATTCTGGCCTCTTCCCCATTATATATAGAAGAAAAGAAATTAACCCGTTAAACATGAAAGTATTGTGTAATCATTTAAGAGATTTTTCTTTATATAGAACCTTTTTGAACCTTCTTAACTTTTACTACTTTACTGTAAATTTAAAGGTGCAGTAAGCGATTTCTGAGAAACACTTTTGATATTTGAAATCCCAAACAAACACACCCCTCCCTTCATTGCTCCGCCCACAAAATGCACAAACAAGCAAGGCAAGAGTGTATATCTCTTTATCATAGCTGAAGCAAAGCAAAATAATGCTTCGCAAAAAATAAAGTGAAGATGTTAATATAGCTAACATTACAACAACAGCATATTGATTCTGTGAAAGAGCAAAACCAATGTTACTCACATATGGAGAAGAAACAACAAAGTTCTTGCCTGAACATAGTCCCTCTTTTTCCAGTGATATTCCTCTGACCTTTTCTCTTTTGTAATGTCTTTCAGCCATCTCTATTTCTACAGTCTGTCTTCAAATCTCTCTCTCCGCTCCCCCATCATGAGTGGACACGCCCCCTGCTGCTGATTGGCTCACCCCCCCCCCCCCCCCTCCCCATCATGAGTGGACACGCCCCCTACTTCTGATTGGCTCATCAGCCCCCCGCCCCCCCCCTTCCCCATCATGAGTGGACATGCCCCCTGCTGCTGATTGGCTCATTCTAGGAAAGAGTTACTATTGCGAATGTCCTGTGGAAGCAAGTTCCTCAAATAAGGAGCAGCGTAACTAAAAGCTCGAGATCCCATGGAAGCCAAGCGTATGCGGGGAAGAACTTAGGACAATGTGGATGATGATCTAAGAGTTCGAGAGGGAGTATAGGTTGAAAGTAGATCAGATAAATAGGAAGGAGCCAGAGGTTATGCAGCGCTTTGTAAGAAAGAGTCAAAGTTTTAAATTCAATGCGCTGTTTAACAGGAAGCCAATGCAGTTGTTGTAGAACTATAGATATGTGTTCCATCTTAGGAGTTCTAGTAATGATACGTGCTGCAGAGTTCTGCACTAACTGTAACTTGTGTAAAAGTTTAAAGGGAAGACCATAAAAAAGAGCATTGCAATTGTCAATACATGAGGTGACAAGAGCATGAACCAAGGGCAGTGCTCTTCGTTGATAGGGCTGGGTGGAGGCGGTTAATGTTACGTGTGATAATAAGCCGTTCGAGTAATCTTATTGATATGTGATTAGAAAGATAGAGTATTGTCGAGTATGACACCCAAGCTCTTAACCTGCATTGATGGAGCAATTGTAGAATCATCATCCCCATGGAGAAACCACTGGTCTTTGATAGATTAGTTTTTGTTCCTACAAGAAGTATTTCTGTTTTACTACTGTTAAGCTTAAGAAATGTACTTGAAAACCAAGCTTTAACTTCAGAAAAACAGTTAGAAAGAGAGGATGGAGGAAGTTGAGAAGTAGGTTTTGAAGATAAATAGGGCTGGGTGTCGTCAGCGTAACAGTGAAAATGGATACCATATTTCCTAAAAATGGTTCCAAGTGGCAGTAAATAAATGCTAAATAATAAAGGGCCCAGAACTGATCCCTGTGGGACGCCTGTGGTAATGCGTGATGGTTTAGATTTAAAAAGGGCAAATTGAACAAATTGAGTACGACCAGAGAGATAAGATATGAACCAAGCCGGTGAAGTTCCTACAATTCCAATGGACTGCAGTCTATCTAAAAGAATTTCATGAGAAATAGCGTGATAGAATGCTAAAGTTAAGTCAAGAAGAATTAATATAGATAAGAGTCCTGAGTCAGCCGCTACCAATAAGTCATTGGAGATTTTGACGAGGGCAGTCTCAGTGATGAGAACGAAAACATTATTGAAATTGTTCATATAGGTTGTTCACTGAGAGATGATTGTGTACTTGAGCCGCAACAACCTTTTTTTCAAAATATTAGATAGAAATGTCAAATTGGAGATTGGACGGAAATGATCAAAATTATTTGGATCTGCACCTGGCTTTTTTGAGTACAGGAGTTATTAATGCGGTTTTAAATGAATGAGGAACAGTGCCAGAAATGAGAGAAGAATGCATGATCTCAGTAATAAAAGGTGAAAGAACTGATAGACAGGCTTTAACTAATTGAGTTGGAAGATGGTCTAATTGACAGGTGGTTGGTTTAGATTTCCGAATAATTGAGATTATCTTATCGACTGAAGGAAGTTTAAAAGCAAAAAGACTAGAGTTAATTGACTGTGTAAAGCTGAGACAAGATGAAGGACAGGCGAAATCTGAAACCAACAGAGACTGGTGGATATTTTCAATTTTTACATTAAAGAAGTTCAGAAAAGCATTGCATAAATCAACTGAGGGCAAATGTGATGGTATAGAATCAGGAGGCTTTAAAGTATCTTTCATAACAGAAAAAAAGAGTTCTTGCATTTCCTTCACTAGACATGATCAGATAGGAGTAATAATCAGATTTAGCTGTATGATTTAGCTGTCAGAGTACATCTATTTGTGGACAACAAACCTAGTTTTAACATACAAATGCTCCAGACGGCGGCCTTGAGCTTTTAGCCTACGCAAATCAGGGGTATACCAAGGGGCAGAATTAACAAATGAAATAGTCCTGGTTTTTAATGGTGTGTAAGTATTAAGAAGCGACTGAAGCACATCATTGTAATGAAATACCAGTTCATCAGGGGTTGTTAGGTTGTCTCTACTGGAAATCGTAATATTCCGAAATGAGATGGTACGACGTTGATTACACTTGAATAACGTTAAGCAGGTTTTAAAAGAAACCAACAGATGATCAGAGAAAGTTAGGTCAGAAGCCGTGCAGCTGTAATGAGTAATGCCAGAGCAGCAGACAAGATCAAGTGACCTTACAAGTGAGTAGAAACATGTATATATTGTTGTATGCCTAAAACTATCAAGGCAGGATAAAAAAAAAAATCCTTTGTACTACTTTCATTCTCCACATGTATATTAAAATCTCCAACCACAATCACATTTGGAGATAGAGAACTGATGAAAGTTAATAAGACAGAAAAATCTTTTAAAAAGTCTGTGTTTGCCTTAGGTGGACGATGAACATTAACAAGAACAGTCGGGACTGGGCCATTAATTTGTAAAACAATGGACTCAAAGGAAGTGAATTCAGGCACAGTTACATGCGACACTTTCCATTTCTCGTGATATATTACTGCAAGACGGCCTGACGCGCGGGGCTTGCAGGTGTAAACACATCCCGGAGGGGTTGACTTATTAAGCTGTGCAAAATCATCTTTATGCTGCCAAGTCTCAGTTAAACAAAGAAATCAAATTTACGATCAGACAGTATATCGTAAAGCACAGGACCTTTATTTGAGAGTGATCGCATAGCAGATTCCATAGTCCAAAGGAAAGGATGTCACTTTCGGTATACCTGTAGTAGCTGACTTGGCAAGGCTCACTACTTAACACACTGTGGTCAACGGGCCTTGTGGTTTTCCTTATGGGACGAGATTTTGAAGACCAGAATGTTCATATTGTGTTTGAATCGTCGACGATGAAGCTCCGTCGAGAGCCCCCCGGTGGACATGTTTACGGCGAGGTATATAGATGATATCCTTGTTAGAGAGCAACACTGATGGTGGAAATCAGTGTTAAAGAAGTTCCGTCGCAGTGTATGTCGAAGATATAGGGTGGCCGATGAATGAGATGATGAACCAACCAAGTGTAGCCAGTACCGGCAACTCAGAAACCCTCATATTTTCCCACCTGGGGGCCGAGGAATGTAGATCTCAGGAGGAGTGAAGAGTGAATGTCAAACAAGCAGTAACGTTAGGCAGACAGCAACCGCGATCAGGTAAGTTAGGCAGAGCTGACTTAAAGTAGCTAAACCACTACACAAGCACAGCAAATACAGCACGGGGTCGTAATGTTTAGTTTAGTATTAAATGCTTTTAAACAGTGTACAGTTACATTCTCCAAGTCTCCCCAATATCAAACTGCAGGCTTGATATAATCGTTGACCAAATGTTATTTACATATAAAACTAGCGGTTAGTGTCTTGACAAAACGGCTCAGAACACACACGATACGGGCTATTGGACAGAACATGTGATCACACATGTACGTTCATCTGTGATTTGCAATAAGGCTCCAGTCGGCCTTCATAACAAGTCATTACGGCTCCGAATCTAGAGATTTCACAGAGGAGGATGCATAATGTAAACTAATGAGGGAGAAAAAGAGCAAAGAAAGACAAAATAAAGAAGACGATAAAAGCGCCCTTTCGTTTCCCAGTAATTTCGGCATAATGCGTTCCCCGGGAGACTTCGCAAGCATGGTGCTAGTCAGCCTGTCACGTTTGAGAATCAATGAGTTAAAATAACATTGAAATAAAGCAGCACTTCAGTGCTTATTTAATTCACAACAAAATGGGGATAATGGACTCCAGGGAATCCCTACGCACGCTTCTGAATTTTAAGCATGAATGGAGCAAATTAGCTAACTCAATCACATTTGTTCTATCTTTATGACTCTGAACTTACAAAAACAGATGCTTGCTCGGTTATTACATAACAACAAAATCAAAGATTTGCAGTTTAACTATTGTCTATTTGAACCTTAATATAAACGTCTGGATTATTGTAATTGGTGTTCTATCTTTGCTTTGAGGTAAAGCTTTTAGGTCATGTTGGAATTAGAGTAACTAGAGTCTTTATAGAACGTATAGTAATTTTGTAATTGGTAAATGACATGCAATTCTTTTGGAAGGCTAAAATGTTCTGTGGTTTGACATATATAGGTAAAACTATTGCGAACAGCATTACATATGCAGCTGATACATGAGCTCATATTGATTGAGAGATTACACGGAATATTTGCAATTTCAAATATATATCTGTCACAACGCAAAACCATTTAAATTGTCCGTTGAACAATTGAACGCAAAAGATTATTAAAAATGGTGAAAAACTTTAAGGGCCCTATCATACACCCAACGCAATGCGGCGCCAGACGCGACGCAAGTGTGTTTTGCTATAGTTTCAGCCCGACGCAGTTATCATTTTTACGTCCTGCTCCACGTTGTTTAAATAAATCTTTGCGCCTAAGGGCTGCTGGTCTGAAAAAAAACGAGGTGTGTTCAGGCGCATTGTTGCCGTTTTGCTATTTTGAGGAACTGAAATAGACTGAGCCGCATTGACCAACTGAAACCTGGCCTAGAGTCAATGGTGCAGTATTTTTTTGTTATTTAAAGAGCGCTTTAGTAATGTGCGCCTATAGGCTGGTCCACAATGCGCATACACTCTACTTATTACACACACAGGGACGCGTAGCGGCACACAAACCTGCCATATATTAAAAATTGATGGATACTGAAAAGGATTACAATGTAAAAGATTAATATTGTGTACATAAAGATATGGTGAAATCCGGTTTGTAAATTCCGCCAAGTAAATAGTGAATCCATTGCGAGCGCAACTGGCTTTTACAGGGAATGAGACTCTGGTTGTTTTTTTCACGTTGCGCCTAAAACACACCCATTACTCATTAAGAGATTAGGGACAACCCTTTTAGACCATGGCAAAAGTGGATTCAGACTCGCCCTAAGTGCACTTGAGTTAAAATAGGGCCCTAAATCAGCCCTCAATAAATCCCAATTTTTAGAGTCTCTTTATACATTTTAAGGTCATGTATATTCTTATTTTCTCCTTCACTTTTAGCAGATACAAGCAAGTTCCCAGGAAACTAATAAAATATATTGATGACTCATTCTGAACTATGCAATTTTTTTGTTCAATCACATGCTTTCTGATTGCCCCAAATATGTAATAGCAAAGTCCCTTTCAAGGAAAGTCTCGGTTCACTCGGCGGCCATATTGACAACAGTCAAATATTCAGGCGGGACTTGTTCCAACATATTGCACGTTGCACTTTCTCCCCTTCATAGTAATGTGAGTGCACCGTCTTTCTACAGTATATCTAAAGTCTTTGGTAGTAGCAACTATAGACTATTTTTTTAAAAAGTACACTCTTCCATACACAGCTTTCAAACATGGTGGAACGAAAGAGAGACGATGGTTTTGGTGCTTCTATGTGGAATTATGCAATGGAGGAAAGGTTCGTGAAGCTATGGCAACAATACTTCTGCTCGAGTGACTACCACGACACAGTGAAAAAAGATAAATGTTGGCAAACGATAGCGGAGACGCTTCAGCAACCCGGTGAATACTGGAATTAGCATTAGGCTAGTTCAACCATTGTTTGTTTATGCTCTTGTTTTCCAGAAGTCAATCACTAGTTCCGCCTTCTCAATGACATCACACGCGTCGTTAAAGAGGGCAAGCGATGATTGGTCGGGACGCAACGGGTCATCTGACATGTTTCTTGTCCATGCCACAACAAAAATGTAGGAATCAAAATCACATAATCTGAGACAGTGACTATCATAACAGACACAAATATTGTATTAGTCATTTCAAAAGGAACCTGTGTGGTCGGGAATTTCGCTTCTGGGCAAAATATTTCCGAGTTAGTCGAGTGAATTTGCCATGTTTACCAAAAGAAAGCTGCTTGGTTTGAAAGTGACTTTGCTGCACTATTGGCAATGGACCTTTTTTGTCCTGCAAAATGTGGCTAATGTGACAGCACCTTAAAGCTGCAGTCCGGAACTTTTCCTCTTTGTCGCCATCTCTCTGTTCGAAATCTGTAACTGCAGTGATTCGCGGAATTATCATCTTTACGTGGGTTGTAAATCGGCATTAACAGCGCGGATGAACACAGTGCTTTGAGGCGAGTGCTGCTGTCAGTCACCGCGCTGTGTGGATACTGGCATACAGAATCACAGATTCACTTTTTGAAAGTTTGACCAACATAAGAATTTTCATAAGAAAATGTCTTCTGAACAAGTAAGTAACATCCATTTTTGTTCTGACCAACTAAGGGGGAAAAAGCATTCGACATGATAAGCTTCGTTAGATTTAATCAACATGATTTACAGCAACCGTGCAAATTATAGCCTACTTTGTTCTCAAATTGTTCATGTTAACAACATCAGCATTGCGTGACTAATGTTAAATTTAATGTGTTTTATGGTTACCTGTGTAGTTCAGAATTCATATTCTCCATAATAGCAAAACGAGAAAGGCACAACAAAGGAAACTCCATAACTGTGTGAATTAAGAAAACGTACTGTTACACGATTGAACTATTGAAATGTCTTACTTGTTCAGCAGAAAAAAGCCGTCTCTTCTTCCGTTTTGAACCCCTTCAAAACACGGAGTTCACGCACTTTTCAAAAGCCCCGCCGATGTTTAAATCCTTGTGTTCGCATGAGACGGTTTCTTTCTCTTTCTCTAGCCACCTTAAATCCGAAGTACGAAGTCTTTTGGGTTTTATAACTGCTGAATCTCCAGTTGATGACACTGATGATTGTTGTTTGGATCTTTCTGGATGCCATAAGTTTAATCATGTAAAGTACTGCGAGAAAAGCCTATACATCTAAACATCTCGTCACGCGCAGTATAGCCGGCTAGCCGAAACTCCTTCTTTATGTGTACGGGTGTGACGTAATGACGCAAAGACATGCTCGAATTTCCCGCGGAAACCCACCAGTACCACTGGAATTAAAATCATTATTACAAGCTAACCGTTTTGAATCTGGCAATGGCAAGCAGATAGTTTTGACCACTGGCAGAATAAGTTTTTTTTAATATAATTATTTTGGATTATTTTTAACTTACGGACAAGTTACGGACTGGAGCTTTAAGTCAAAAGAGCCCACTTCCAAAAGTTTCTATGCTACTATTACCCCTTTTCCACCAAAGCATTTTGAGAGCCGGTGCCTACTCGAGAACCAGTTCTTTGTGTTTCCACAGCCAAAGAACCGGTTCTCGGCCAGGAAAATTGCTTCCAAAGCAGCACCAACTCTTTGCTGGACTAGAACCGTTCTTTTGCCACGTCATGCTTACGTCGGGGGCTGGGGGCGGGTTACTGTGAACAACAACACGACGGGAATGGGAAAGCTAAGACGTATGGCAACATACACAGTGACGTAACGACGTCGTTCGCTGGGCTCTCTAGTCAGTGGAAAAACAAACAGGTTCTGAGAAGGTTTGCAAGTTGAACCAACTTTGAACCAGCACCAGTTCCGAACCAGTTCTTTTTTGGTGGAAACGAGGTATATGGTCTTCTTTGCCAAGTTCTGACCTCTCCTCAAAAAGCACGATTTGAGGTATCTTTTTTTTATGTAGCACAGACAAGTATGCGAAGGTCTAGTACGTAAGGCCTGGGTATACTTTATTTTCCTTTTTAAAGTACCGTAGTGACGACCCTGATTATAAGATAAACCCGTTTTGCGCTTTTAAGTCTTTTTGCTCTCGCGATCTTCTACCATTACACTCGGACACCATATTTCTTGGCACACTCGTTTTACGTGCATTTGGCGCCACCTATTGTTGCGGGTGTATTATTGACATGTAAATTCTAGACCCTGGATATAAGACGCATCCGCATTTTCAGATGTCAAAACATTGTCTTATATTCTGAACAATACGGTATACTCCTTTGGCCATGAGCACGGAAAGACGTGTGCACTATCTAGTGACTTTTTAATTTTCAAGCGCTCAAATCACTCGCACGTGCACTGTTGTACGAGCACCGTCCGCGGACCTTCCTGATGACATAAAATTAATACGTCACGCATACAGTGGATGGACCGCCGCGAAACATGGATGGCTGACGTATGCTTTGGGCTTTAGGGTTAGGGGTTTATGAATCTCCAGTCATAAGTCCTAGCAATAGCCCAAGTTATGCTAGCCTTAACAAACACCATTGAAAATGACACTGATCACTCTCAGGGTCATACCCCAGTATTAAAATCAAGCCTTCATGTAACCAGACAGCAATATAGTGTCGGCCCAGATCCGGCCCACATTTGGTATGTGTGGAATCCACGTGTACCAGATGTGGGCCGGATCTGGGCCGACACTATTGCTGTCTGGGTCATGGCTGACTTCTGTCTGCACAAGCAGTACCTTTCACTGTCACATGAACACTCCTGTGAATTTGTTTCTCTGGATCCACCAGCACGTAGCATGTGTACTCTCCCTCGTCCGAGTTTTGCACATTGGACAGCTTCAGTGTGCCGTTGTTCTCAAAGGCACGTTGGCGATGGTTGAAAGGGAGCAGTTTGGAGTCCTTATACCACTTAATAGAGTAATAAGGGTAACCAATGATGCGACAGTGAATGTACGTGTCCCTCCCAGCAATGGCAGTGACATTTTTCATTGGTCGAATACTGGCAGGGCCTGTTGTGAGAAAGAACTATCAGTATACAGAGTCTTTGAATGTCAGTTGATAGGCTTATGTAGTACGTGTAAATATTCTAGTTTTCAGCTATTATATACATATTCTGACAGTAACTAACTAACTAAAAATAATTCATCCTAACTTCAAACCCTCATGGATAGTTTGACTGCAAGGGATACTTAAAAATGAGAATTCGCTCAATATTTAGTCACCCTCATGCCGACCCAGATGTATATGACTTTCTTTCTTCAGATGAACACAAATTTTTATAAAAAGAATTCATCGATTTGAGTCCATATAATGCAAGTGAATAAGTCCCTCAAAGTTGACACTGTATATAGTTAGTGTGTGTGTGTGTCTACTAAAACCTGGACCGAAAATGTTGTTCAGCTACATTGTGTGTGAGACAAAAAATCTCCAAATCTCCAAAAACCTCCCTTTAGGGACGTCTTCATTTGTAAATCTGGTATCAAAATAAAGAAATTCAAGGTTTTTTATATATGAAACAAATGCAGAAAGTTTTGTGTGATGGCAGGTTTAGGGGTAGTGTTAGTGTAAGGGGGGAAAATATGCAATTTGGACAGTATAAAAACCATTACGTCTATAGAATGTCCCATTTAGATAGCTAAGTAAATGTGTATGTGTGTTAGTGTGTGTGTCTGTGTGTGTGTGTGTGTGAGAGAGAGAGAGAGAGAGAGAGAGAGAGAGAGAGAAGAGAGAGAGAGAGAGAGAGAGAGAGAGAGAGAGAGAGAGAGAGAGAGAGAGAGAGAGAGAGAGAGAGAGAGAGAGAGAGAGAGAGAGAGAGAGAGAGAGAGAGAGAGAGAGGGGGAGGGAAAAAATTCAAATATTTTACACTTAACAACAATCCATCGCTTCCAGCCAATCATCATATGAGTAAACGTCAGCACGTTGTTAAGTGTGATGTAGGCATATTGTGAAGTTTGAACTGACAGTTAGTCAGAAGAGATAGCTGAAAGTTTTAAAAATGTAGAAATATTTTTCTCACACAGACACACCTATATGATGTTATGCTTCTGAAGATACTGGGGTCATATGGATTATCATTGTATTCATTTTTCATGTTTTTTGAAGCTTGGAACTTTATTAAGGAGCCTATGAACTTGGATTACAATGGACTATGGATTATATGGATTATACCTGTATGTGTTCTTCTGAAGAAAGAAAGTCATATACATCGGGGCGGCATGAAGGCGGGTAAATGACGGCAGATTTTTGGGTAAACAGAGTTTTAAATTAGCACAACGTAAAACAACCAATGGGAGTGAAGGCAGTAGAGCCTGACTGTAGAGGAAGTCTATCATACCTGGAGAGCGCTATCCGTTAGCATTTCCTTTCATCCAATCACCATTCAGTCCTATCCTTTCAAAATTAGGCAGAGGCTATTTGTACTAAGTGCATTAGAGGTGAACGTGATTTGACCAAATGCAACATGTTCCTGGATAAACATCTTTGTTGATCCTGGAACAACATTCATATCAACCAATCAAATTTGAGGTTTACAGTTTATGTCAAGTTTAGGCTTAGAACCAAGGCTTATGTGCTTCTACATCAGTGTTATTCACCTATCCTTTCCCTCTGATTTAAGGGATAACTTATGGGTAGGGTTTGGTTTAGGGGCAAGGATAAGGTTGGGACTGTTGTTCCATATGATGACCCAGGAGCATGTCTCACTTGGCAAAATCATTGATTGGATTGCATTGGCCACACCAAATATTTCACTTTGCATTTTTATGCCCTTCTCTTGCTAACTTAACTCCGTCTCGTGGACTCGTCATTGCTTACGGTGCACGAGTGCCCAGTCCTGGCAGAACCCTTGCAATGGGTCGAAGTGGAACATCCTAAGCCCTTGATCACCTCAATCTGCTATGGAGCTTATTCATTATTTATATGTTTTCCATAAGAATTCTATATTCCTATACTTGGGATATTGAGAAAAAATCTAAAAGTACACAAACAAATAATAAATCAATACAATTAACTATTTTATTATGTGTATTAAGTATTGTGTGGTTAAAATCTCAAAATAATTCATATATAATGCACTAGCGTCATGTGGGGTGCTGTGACATCACAATCGTGTTGCATTATGGTAAATGAAGCTGCCTAAATGAGTCAACATCTGTCCTATTGTTCAAAATTGAGTGACTGTCCATATAAACGATCATCACATACTTGACCAATTGGAACGAACTTCAAAATGACAACGGGGATTCTCTTGAGGGAAAGTGTTGGGAAGTTTGTGTATTTAAACCGTTGACTGTCCCTTTTTGAGCTTATATCTGAACTTAAATGGTTGTAATTCATGAATGCAGCAGATTAATGCACTTCAAAAAATGTATCGAACTAAACATTTTGTATTTTATACAAAATATATATTTTACCATATACGTAATTTGGACTCTAAAATTGCTATAAATCCAAAGCCATATGTCTAACCACGTTGTGTTTCTAAATTTGAAGGTCATATCACAAAATTTGAGCCCGCTAATTACAGTATCCTTTGTAACGCAATGTCCAATTTCAAAACAGATTTCACAGGATGCATTTTGAGTGTTTCGAAATCTAATTTATGACGATTACTAAAATATGTGATGAGGGGAAAAAGAGTTTCACTTCTAGTTTCACTCCAATGCTCAACTGCAATCTCTAACTTCACTCCCATTGGTTGTCTTCACATTGAGTCTCTGCTCATTTGCATAGAGTTAAACTTTGCTTTTTTTTGTTGCGCCGTCATTGGACACTGCTCAAGAGCCAAAGTTCAGAACAAATAAATCACTTCTAGTTGCTTTGTTGCTACAAATCCCTGTCACTGAGAACACCACTTTTAGGAGGCAATCTAAGACTACAACATTTCCTTCTAACTAAAAATTCCATATAGAAAACAGACAATCTTGTTGTGTGTGGTTGTGGTGTGGTGTCGGTGTTTTTGAGGAGCTGATCTGACAAGCACCTCTTACGTTTATTCGAGCCTGGTAGGAGACCGATCCGGCCGAGTTGTTGCAGGTGCAGCGGTAGACGCCCCCATCGCTGACCTGTGTGTGGGACACATTCAGATAGCTGAGCACGTGGCCCTCGGTGGTGATGATGCGGTCCATGCGGTGGTTGCTGTCTTTGATGACGGGGTCTTCGTCCAGGGTCCAGGTGACGGTGGGGAGCGGCGTTCCTTTCACGTGACACACCAGCGAGATGGGCTCGTTCGGGCTCACCACCTTCTCGCTGAAGGCCGAGAGGATCTTTGGCGTCCCGTCTAGAGATGAGGAAGACAGATTTGTAGACAGATGGTTAAATGATGCAATATTTAAAGGTGCGGTGTGTTTTTTTAGTGGTATCTAGTGGTGAGGTTACGAATTGCAACCAACAGAAGTTACGGTGGCCGACAGGAAGTGATGTCGTCGTCTGAGACAGCAGAGAGTAGCCAGTTAAGCAATGAGGGTTCTTTACAAAGATAAATTAAGAAATTAGGTTTACTTGATTATGCAGTAAAACGATATGTTATTGCGAATATTATTGCTACTTGTTCATCATTGTGTCAGTGTTTTATTCGCTGACTTTAGCGAGCCTCTTCGCACGAACAACAACAAAGTGACGAAACGCGTTTGTCCGTTCAGGGCCACTGTAGAAACACGACGGCGCATTTCAATGTAAGCGGACCCGCGGTGTATGTAGATCGAAACGGCTCATTCTAAGGTAATAAAAACATAACGGTTCATTATGTAAGGTCTTTATATACCACTGGAAACATAGTTATGTATATTATATTGCATTTCTGTCTACAGATCCTCCTAAATATTACACAATGAACCTTAAGGAAACATACAAAATAACAGTCTAAAAAATTGGCCTTCAATATACACTGATATGATATATGATATATGATTGTTGAGCAGCATTCCAAGGACATTTTCTTGAGGTGACACATTGTTCATAAACTAAATGTGATTGAATCTGTCATAAACATTTCAGATTTTATATCTTAAATTAAATTGCTGGTATCATCAATAAAACACTTTTAAAAATCGCATTATCTTTAAATAGCAGAGCATTGTGGGCCGTCTGGCTCTTTCGAGTGCTGTAGGTCATTTACTCCCGAGTAAACTATTTTCCTGGTTGTTGGTAGTAAATCATACGGGTCAAAAGGCAATGCTAATATGACAGATGTGCAGTAGTATGTTCAGAAATATAGTTATACTCAATCTACAAAACCTAAAAAAAACATACAGGTACTTCATCAACCCAAGAGAAGTATATTCTGAATTTTCTTAAATATTTTATGTAGTGCTGTTAAATCAATTTTTTTGTGATTAATCGCATCTAACATACAAGTTTGTAAATATAGTGCTATATAAAGAATATATATATATATATATATATATACAAACTTTTATGTTATATGCGATTAATCGTGATTAATCGATTTGACAGTACTTGTGCTAAAAGTCAGGAAAACTGTAATAATGCATTTGTAATTCCAAAAACCTGATACAAAACACATAGAAAGGGGATTATGAAACTGCCTCACATTCTCAGTAAATTACGGACAATGCAAAATACACTAGACCTAGCCAGACATTTGTTGCAAATCCTTTCAGCCCCGTTTTCTTATTTCATGACACTTAGGAAGAAACAGCTGTGTTTTCAAGCTTAGTGCCATTGAAATCTTTACCCTCTGATCATCCTGTTTATTTTATTTTTTTACATCATTATAGATTATCAATATCCTCTGTATGCAGTTTTGTGGCAATAGGAGACAGTTGCCCCAGCAACCGAGCTGAAGCAACAAATCTTTTCAGCTGCAGGGCTGAGTAGCTTCAGTGGAGTCCAGTAGAGGCTTATATTAAAACACATGCACAGTTACACAGTACAGTGTTCATATGTACATCCACAACTTCACAGGTCATTCAAAATTTAAGATCTTAACAGATCTTTTATTCCGTATTGTGATGTACATCCGGGTGTTATGACTTATCGAAAAAGAAAAAATGTAGGGTGGGGACTTGGTTCTTATGCATCAGTTTTCGATTGGATTTTTAGATGTGGCCGTTGCATTCAAAAGCGGATGTCTAAAAACATCTAGCTAAAATCGTTTTTGTGTGCATGTGTGTTCAAAGCCAAAGTGAAAATGTTATCATTTACTCACCCAGTTATTTTCTTGTCTTTTGCTATAGTATGATTTCACACAAGTTGTATGGGCTGGGTTTTGTGGGACTTTTTTTTTTTGACTTTTTGGAACTTATCAGTATAAATTATTATTTACATTTGCTGTACGGAAAAGATCAGCTCTGTCTTCTATAACGTTTTGTCTTTCATTGAAGGAAGAAAATGATGTAAGGTTAAGGGCTTTTTACACAGCGCGATTAAGCGATGAGAAAGTACGACGCAGTGATGCTGTTGAATCGAAACGGTAGATCCCTATGGAGCTATTCACACCGGGTGCGATCATTCGTGGCGCTACAAAGCGAGATGTGTGTGGATTTTTTGTGGAAAAAAGAAGAGAAGATCAGGATGAGTGTGGGCAGTTACAGGCGTAAAATGCATTCTCGGACAGCGGCACCTATCTTGCAGGCGGGAGTTATCTGAAGGCGATCAACCGTTTCGGTTTCGGTGTGAAAGACGAACTCGTCTGCGATTCGTGTAAACCAAGAGCCTTAAGAATGACATGAAGGTGTTCGTTTTTGGATGAACTATTCCATTAAATGACATAAGTTTGACATAAGTTATGTCTCAGACAGTCCTGGCTCCCTATCTCCATACTTTTAGTAATTTCACATTCAAAAGTATAACATTATTTCGTGTACTTTCTTCCAAGAGGGACTTACCTTCCAAGACGACCTGAACTAAGTCTTGGGTGGACATCTTGCCATTTCGAGCAAAGCACTGATACGCTCCTCCATCACTCTTGGCCATTCCCTCCATCACCAGGTTCTCGTTGTTGATGCCCGTGATACGTACGTTTATACCCTGATAGATCTTCTCACCGTTCCTGTACCAGCTGATGTCATACTCGTCAGAGCCAGTCACACTGCAGAACAGAGACACTTGGCTACCCACGCTGCCTCTCACCTTCCGTGGGCTCACCACTGCTTTCAGAGGCTCTGGGGTGGATGGAAACACACATACTCGCATATTAATACACTATTGAATCAAATAATTGTGTCTAAATTCAAAGAAGTTGTTTCGTCTTCATACAAACCATGTTTTTAAGAGGATGTTGACTAGAACTTTGTTTGTCATCTGTTAAATGCTTAATGCTGCAGTCAATTCAACTCAGGAAGTCATCATATCCAACTTGGAAAAGTACAACAAAATGCTACATGATGTCATGTGAACATAGCGTCATCCGAAAAAGTAAATATTCCCTTCTAGGTGAAAAAACCACTGAGTCAGTTCTGAGATTGCATGAAAATAAATCCTGTTAAGCAATCGTTTGCAGAGACGAAGTGAAAGTCCCTTTAAGACAAGTCATTTCACTCGGCGGCCATCTTTGAAACGCCTCTCTGGCGTGCAAGTGCAGCTCCTGTCTCTGTGAATGGGGAAACATCAAATTCTCCAAAACTGTTCGCCAAGCTTACGATTAAATTTCATATTTGAAATCACCAATGAAATCTGACAACAACTGTCTCATAAATGTTGTTTCTAAATGCTTGAATCAAAATTTTCAGGCTGGATCAAGCTAATGCGCAGTGGAAGCGCGTCTGACTGTTTCTATAGGAACCGGAGCTTCTAACGGCTGCAGTGACACGGTGACTTTACCAATTGGTGATTGGCTCTTATTTAGAAGGCGGGACTTATTTTCGACATATTGAGCGTTACACTTTTCCCCATTCAAAACAATACGAGAGACGTGTCTTGTGTTATTCAATAGTCTCTGGTAAAACATGGTTATGGATATTTTCTGTTGATATTCTACACCTTCAAAAGTATAGCATCATTTATAATCCACAATTTGTTGCTTTGGTGACAAACAAACACCAGCACACCTAACGGTAGCCATTTGTTTTGAGATATGGAATTCCTTTATAGTTGGAAGTCTGGGATATTGAACTACAGCTTTGAATGGAACACAGCACAAGTCGAGATTATCAAACCAATCATGTTGTTAGCTAATTTGTGTACTTGCTAATCATGCTCAACTTAAGTTTGTTGGCCAACAGCCAACACAATTTTGGATTGAATTGTATCGAGTCTAATAGGAATTATTTACATGAATTGTTTTGGTTTTCAAAACCAAGTTGTCAAAGGGCACATACAGTAGCCTATCGTGAAAATGTGAATGCTATAAATGTTGAATAATGTCACATTAATGTCACTTTAAAACAAGGGTTCTCATCTCTGGTCATCGAGATCCACATTCCTGCAGAGATTAGACCCTTTCACACATACAGTCTTTACCGGTAAATTACCGGTAACAGATCATGTGTGAACAGGATACCGGTATATTGGTTACGTCAATTTACCAGTAAGGGAAGTTGTAACATTACCAGTAAATTACAGGTATATGCGCTGTGTGAACGCGGAATGAAGATTACCCGTATTTTGCACGTACGATGTCAGAACACACTGACTTAACAAGTCATAAGAAGAGTTTTGAGCCAATCAGAAGCTGTTGAAAGGGCAGTTCATTGAATGATGACACAGATGACACGTTTACTCAGCACTGTTTACAAATGTCTTCAAATTGGAGTGATACCGAAACTAAAGCGCCTCTCCGCGTCCGGGCGGATGAAGAGATTTGTCAACAACAGTTAGCGGTTCTGTAACGTATGATAAAATAACTAGCCTTAAAGGCATAAACTTCCAGTTAATGACGTCAGCACAGAGTTTACCGGTATTTTGTAGCTGATGTTAATGGTCTGTTACCGGTAAAAAGCCAGAACGCTGTTGCTTGTGTGAACGGCACACTTTTGAATTAACCGGTAAAGTCGTTCTTGCAATTTTACGTTAATTTACCGGGATTGCTGTGTGAAAGGGGCCAAAAACACCTGAACAAGCCAATCAAGCTCTTCAGATCACTAGAAAGCTACAGGAAGTTGTTTGATCAGGGTTGGAGGAAAGTGGATCTCAAGGGCAAGAGTTGAGAACCCCTGCTGTAAAAGATAACTTACGTTTGACCACCAGCCGTCCGACCACTTTGGCGTTTCCGAAGCTGTTCCACACCTCACACACATAACTGCCAGCGTCACTGGGTCGCGTGGCCTCGATGAGAAGGCCCGATACACTCTGGTGGTAGCGGCTGTCTGATTCTAAGGGGCTGTTGTCCCTCAGCCAGCGATACCTGGGCGGGGGGTGACCGGACGCTTTACACGGGAGCTCCACCCGGTGTCCCACCATAACCTCCCTCCGTTCAAACCCATCCAGAATCACCGGAGCGGAGTCCACAGGATCTAAAAGAGAGTGAGAGAAAATCCATTTTCTTTATATACTGTAGTAGTGGGAAACTGCTGCGTCCCAATTCAGAGGCTGAATCCTTCGAAGGCCGATTGCATCACAGCGGCGAGACGAAGGCTGTCCCAATTCGAAGGGTCCTCCGAATGCATCCTTCGTTTCCCGTGAAACCAGTGATATGATATTTTTGAGAGAAATTGCCATATCTTACTAAGATGCAATTATATATAGTTTACACTCTATATTATATACAGAAAGGGACCACGGTGAACCTATTTAGACAGTTTGTGAATCCTGTTTCGTTTTCAGACAGTTTAATATACAGTAACTTTAAAAAAAAGTCCAGTCCAAATGTTACTGTTGTCGTCAACGGCAGCTGTCACAGTTGAAAGGCGACAAGAGCAATCCTCTGTAGGCTATAGACCGTCCCATTTAACAACGCTCAGTCCGACCTTCGCGGTCTTCGAAGAAGCGGCCTATGAAGTCTGAGTCCTTCGAAGGATGCAGCCTTTGAATTGGGACACAGCCTATGTCTACTCATCCCATATGCTCAATTGCAACTTGATACCACCAAATTCCATACGTCACAGTGATTTTAGGACAGCAGTGCCAGGCCAGCATTCTCAAACCAGAAGATCATAGCCTCATTAATGTTAGGGTTAGTGAGGTGGGGTTAGCCAGTTGCTAAGGTGAAGCTGGGGCCGGTAAGGCGATCGTCAGCTCTGAGACCGCTGGCCTGGCGACTGCTGTCACATGTGCAATCGGACACATCTCGACCCATGAGCAGTCTGGCTGCAGGGCATCCATTAAATGGACAGGGTGGTGCTGTCACTCCGCAAATCATACCTGTGGTTGTTGTTTTTTTTATTTTCCTATAAGTTATGCTACCATATTACTCCATTTATTGACTAATAAATATATTTCCAGGCTTGTGAAATCCATAAGCAATGCTGTAATGTTTTATCTGTCTGCTTTATTTCTAACAGTCTCTCAGTAACAGTAGCAAAGGATAAAAACAGTTGACATTTTACATATTTATTTCCTTTAGAGAGAGAGAGAGAGAGAGAGAGAGAGAGAGAGAGAGAGAGAGAGAGAGAGAGAGAGAGAGAGAGAGAGAGAGAGAGAGAGAGAGAGAGAGAGAGAGAGAGAGAGAGAGAGAGAGAGAGAGAGATTCATCAATCTAAAAGGAAATGTAATATTAGCATTGTTGCTGTTTAATTACAATGGCGAATCCATCGTGGCGGACAACATAAACCGTGGATGAAACTTTTAATCACAGGTTCGATTTCTAATCCATGTTTCGTTAATCTGTGTTTAAAATTTAAGGGGTGCATCACACCTAGATAAAAAAATCCTTGATTAGCTCTAATCTTTGCTTAATTTAATCCTTATTGGGGCATCCAACCCATTAAGAATTGTTTTCTGAAAAAAAAGGAACAAGTTTATTGTTTGTTTAGAATAAGAAAAAATATATACCTGCAAGTGGGGTAAGAAAAAAATCAACATATTTAAATATTGTTTTTATTATACCCATTGACATATTTTTTCTTGTTTTTAAGCATAAACTCACTTAATTTTGATAGATTTTTTTTATGAAACGAGACTTAATATCAAAAGTCATTCTTTGACATGAAAATGCATCTTGATTTAAGAATTTATAGATATTTGTAATGGAAAACAAGACAATAAGACAACAAGACAAGTGTTAATCTTATATGAATCTGTGATTTGGTATACATTTATACAATCTGATTCGTGCAAAAACAATTCATTTGTAGGTAAAGTGTCACCAGAAGACCCATCCATAACCAAACCCCTAAAGCTAAACTCAAGAGTGATATCACACAAATTCATACAAATTTGTAACCAATTCATTAAATGGTAAAAATACTTATGACTTTGTCATTAGACTGCACTGGTTTGCCATGTCCAAAATCCCTGTATAAAAAATATGTTTTAATTGGCTGACGGTGACATTAACACCCTTTTTGTTTCTAGTACAGACAAAGTATTTGTTGACTAAAACTTTCATCATGTGACTCGGAGCCCTTTAACCCCTTCTCTCCCCCAAAATAAAAAAGGATGCTGGTCATAAGTCCTTCTGAATAGACACATAGAAAGCCAACACTTGAGCGTTTACAGTTCAAGCCTCAGAATTACTCTGACTGTTATTAATATGGAGATATATAATCTCAAACATAAAAACAAACTATTAACAATATATGCTGTGGCTGTAGCGTAAAAACTTAGAAACACAATGAATGTGAAGCCACAATGTGGTCATGCTTCATTTAAAATTTGAGGGTGTTTTATATAAACATGAATTTTATGAAGCATTTTCTAAGACCATGTCATGTGTGTTTTTAGAGAAAGCTTAAAAAAAGGCTATTAAAAAATATAATGCTCCCTTGTAGTCTATTGTTTATGTCTGGTGTGGCGAACTGCCCCATTCATGTTTCTATTGTTCTATCTCTACAAACCTTTCACACCTCTGCCGGTTATGAGACCTAATCTTAATTATTATTTCATCATTATTCTTTTGTTTGTTTTCAACCACTATTAACCTTTTTTCTAGCATTACATGGCTTTCCCATTCATATCGCTTTGATCCCAATATACATTTATCCACCTATTATAAATAGTCTTTCTAAAAAACAAAACATTTTCTTATGAACTTACGTGAATTTGTGACAAAAATCATAATGACATATAACATATACTGCATATGTACTGTACAGCGGGTGAGTCATAACAGCGATCGTGGAAGTAAAAACCCAGGCAAACAGTGCTGGGAGATCGCGGGACATCAGTTGAAAATTATTAGAAAAGAATATTCTGTCTAAAAAAAATGAAGGAAACATGTATGTAAATATATCAATATTTCCAGATATGAGCACTTTTGGACTATATTCAAATCGTACTGTAGAGCAGTCTCTCATACCTTGTTGCTTAATCGTATTGCGGTTTCAATTTTACACACAAAATGTGTAAATAATTGTAATATGATTTTTTGACTAGACATCTGCTGATTTATGAGAAGTCGTGCCAGCAACACAAAGGCCCCTCACCTGATAAAAGCAGTCGGGCACTGTTGCTCTGTCTGGTCTCCCCTGTGTATCGGTGCCGTGTGGTACAGCGATAAATATTCACCGCGTCCTCCGACTGCACATCCAGAATATACAAGGCCCCCGTGGATGTAATAAGATATCTTGATCCTGGAAGAAAAAAAGAAAAAAAAAAAGAGCAAAATATTGTGGTTAGACTTGCCGTAACCCCAATTAAAGTCATATATGTAATTTGACCCTATATATTCCATCAAAAACAAACGTATGTAAAACATTCATGGCTTTTCGAAGATAAGAGAATCCGCACATGATGTCTCTTTGAAGCCAGCGCTGGCAGACCTGAGGGAGTGCAGTATTGAACTATCGGACGTGACTGTTTTGCAAGCGAGCTGATCGCTCAGTCAGTCGCCCAGAGCTTGAAACAGAAAAGCTTTCAACAACTGCAGCCATTCTTACAGTTCACGCAGACACAGCCGGAGAAACGGCACAATTATGACGGTTGGTTCTAGAAATCTCATTCATTTGTTTTCGGGATTATATTGCTTACAGTCAAATGACTGTGTAAATGGACACAAATTACTGTGATGTTGATGCATATGCGAGATGAGAAATGGATCTTGTGGTGCACCGGGGTTGAAAAGAGAGCCAGAGAGAGAGAGAGAGAGACAGACAGAGAAGGAGAAATAGAGAGTCTGCAGCTATAGCAAGCATTGACCTAGTTAGAAATGAGAGTCCAGGATTTGATACCCTAGAGGGGGTTATAGCTCCTAGTTTACATGCAGTTGTCTGAGACCTGCTACCAGCGGTGCAAATGGAAACACTGGGAAAAATGCATCCGTGCGCTGTTGGTTTGAAAAGGTTAAAATTAGAAAGGAAATTCGAGCATGATTCTTAGATTAGCTGAGCTGTGTTGTGGGACTGAGGATCGTACAATTTCACAGCTATTTCATGGTGTGTTTTGTAAGTGGGCCCTGTTTCAGTAACACAAATGAGAGCTTGCACACTTTCAAATTCAAGAAAGACATTTTGATCTGACATATAGAATAGAATAGAATAGAATAGAATAGAATAGAATAGAATAGAATAGAATAGAATAGAATAGAATATATTGTATTGCTACACGACCGGTTGAATTTCCATGATAACACATTTACATGACCACACATATTTTGACACCACACACACTGTTTGGATGTATTAAATATCAAGCCGTGAGCACGAGTACACACATTGTCTTTGAAAACGTTCTCTAGAGTGAAAAGAAACTAAAACTGTCAATTTTTTTTTTTTTTTTTACTGATAATCATGGTATTCCAGAAAATAAGTCGGGTCAAAATTGCATTGCCGAGAAAGAATAAAACACAAATAAGTCACTTTTTATAATTGAATTCAGAAATCATTTCAAATGGCAGTAAGGCTAGTAGTTTCTACTGTGGTGTCGAAGTGTGCTTAAAGTAATATATGGAAAGCAATGTTAAAACCTAAAGAATTTATTTAAAGTGAAATTGAATCTACCGGTGTGTGGGAAATGCGCTTTACAAATGAATTTGTTCGCATACTGTACCTCAGCATGCATCGAAAAGACCTACATTTTGCAGGCAAAATATTATCCATTTACATTATTACAAAATAATGAAATATCATTTTTCCTATTTGTGACTCATGTCATGACTAGGCCTATATTGAATTTGCTTCCATAAAATTCAATACAAATTACCACAGATATCCTTGTGAATTCCCTACCCCTTCACTGTTAAAAAGATTTGTTGGTTTAACTTAAAAAAGTACATTGAAACCCCAAAAATTGAGTTATTACAAAGAAAGAGATTTTGTTCTCTCTTTGTATTAACTCAATTTTTTTAGTTTCAATGAATTAAAAATTTTAAGGCAACAAGGTTACATAGTTCTTAAGTTAAACCAACAAATCTTTTTTAACAATGTAACCTTGTTGCCTTAAAATTTGAAATTCATTGAAACAAAAAATAAATTGTTAATACAAAGAAAAAACAAAATCTCTTTTTTGGGTTTCAATGTACTTTTTTAAGTTAAACCAACAAATCATGCTTTATTATGTATGTTGTAAAAAAAATTTTATTGCTTTCATAGAGTACATTCAGCCAGTGTTTTACAATTTTTTTACTAATAAAAATAATATATATAAATAATTTTTACTAATAGTTTTTTAGGCCATTAAAATACATACATTTACAAGACACTCACAGTTTGCTAAACAAACAAAAAAAGATCTAAATATCAACTCAGGATAATTGATCAAATAACGACATATTTAACTTTAAAGTCGTCTGCCGACGCTCCACGTGGGCGACAGAAGGCTGGACAACATGTTCCCAGCTAATCAATGTTAAATCCAGGATCCAGACTGCCTGTTCCTGAGGGGATGAGAGCACTAATCAGGGATGATTAAGGTCAGAGTTCTTGGATAACCCTGGACTTGGATTTCTCAACCCGCTCACCACACCCTAGGATCGTGAAGTTTCAATACAAGTGCCAGGAGGACATTTCAGGACTAAATGGGTAAATCTCACCAAACCTATAAAGAACATGTCAATCTTTTATAGCGAAATCAACAGCAAGGTATTTTGCATGAAGAAAATGGTTAAACAAATACCGTTTTTAGCAGTGAAGTGGTTGCATTCACACATTTATCAACTGATTTGTCTCACAAATCCTTTGTCTTTCAATGCCTTTGCTCTTTGCTCTTTTTCCAGCGCTCCTCTCCAATTCTTAGCATGAATAATTCATTTGCAGCGAAGCCCCAGTAGTGCACCAAGACACAACACAATAACCTTTTCCACTTCACAGCCATCTCCAAAATTGGTCGAAAATGACACTGAAAAATGTTCAGGGTGCATAAATGAAGTAAAAGCTCATGAAGTTGGAAAGACTGAAACTCCGGCCCTCGCATGTCTGAGCGATGCGTCTGTTCCATGACTCCACTGTTTGGGCTGCGTTCACCCTCGTGTGTCAGTCAAGCAAACAGGCGGCCTCTCATATTTCCTCCATAAATTATTTAATTTTGTTGCAAACCATGCAAAAAAAGAAATGACCGGCAGCCACAGAAATGATTCATCTATATTTCAAAAGGATAAATACATTGTGCATGATGTGCCGTATGAAATAATCATGCATCTGGAGTGAGGCTGATACTGCATTCTCTCTGCATGATTTACTGTGGATTCTAGGTTGGTCAACATGAAAATAAAAGTGCTATTTATTCCAAACGTGACCTGTTGATGTTTCGGCTGCAATATATCAGAATAATCAAAATATATGACTATTAATTGAATACTGGCATCATAGCGAGTGCTTTTGGACCTGTGCAAGACATCGCCAGAAGAAACTCGTGCTCCCACAATGCATCAGCGGGGTGCCTGAGTTTAGAAAGCAGTGTATGTCTCCTTCAAAGACTGAAAATATGAATTCGGAGGCCCGTCGCCTCTGGACTGACAACAGGAGATTTCTGCTGCATGCTGGGAAAGTGGGAAGAAAGCGGGAGCACTGAAATTCATTTCAAATCCAGTGGATTACAACACACTTCTATGGGCAAAAGCGCACACACGATGAATTTCAGACCAATCAAAATGCCTAATGAGCCACTAGGTTTAAACGCACAAGCAATAATCAATTGTAATTTATTCTAAAGAACTCAGATATCCCAGGATCCAGTTCACAGAATAGACAAAGGCAGATACACTACCTTATTTATAGTGATTCGATAAAAAAACCCGTGTTAAGTATAGCACAGCTCTCATGATAGTTTCATTGATATTATTAGCGGAAGTGTGCACACTGAAGAGGAGAGCAAGAGCAATCATGACCCAATTACAGCGCTTGCTCAACGAGAGCAATTAACACATTTATATCAAATGAGTTCAATTAGTGAACCGGGTCCTCTCGAATGCGTTAAGAGACAAGAGGATATTCTGCTGCGCTAAGCGTTGGCATTTAGCGCAACGTAGCATACGCTAAAAGAAAACGTGTCTGCTATACACCACAAATAACCAGAGCTGACTCGAGATTCTTGCATGGTTCATACATTTGTTGAGACAATATCAGAGCTGTTTTGTAATTAAATCAACTGAGGCCAACTCAAGCTGAATTCTTTTAAAATGAGTATCACACGGTGATTTCCATATTTGTCATTGTTCTGACATAAAAAAAAACAGCATGAAGGATAACATTACTATGGAAGCTTGTTTGCGCTACAAAATAAAACATTTTAAAAGATAATTGCACATTTTATCTCACAATTGCGAGTTTACATCTCACAATTCTGACTTTTTTTCTCAGAATTGCGAGCTATAAAGTCAGAATCGCGTGAAATAAAGCCGCAATTGCGTGTAATAAAGTCAGAATTGCGAGATATAGACTCACAACTGCACGAAATAAACTCGCAATTCTGACTTTATAACACGCAATTGCGTGATATAAACTTGCAATTCTGAGGAAAGAAGTCCTTAGAATTGGACTTTATAACTCACAATTGCGTGTAATAAAGTCAGAATTGCGAGATATAAACTCACAACTGCACGAAATAAACTCGCAATTCTGACTTTATAACTCACAATTGCGTGTAATAAAGTCAGAATTGCGAGATATATAAACTCACAACTGCACAAAATAAACTCGCAATTCTGACTTTATAACACGCAATTGTGAGTTATAAAATCAGAATTGCGTGATATAAACTTGCAATTCTGAGGAAAAAAGTCCTTAGAATTGGACTTTATAACTCAATTGTGAGTTATAAAGTCCAATTCTAAGGACTTTTTTTCTCAGAATTGCAAGTTTATATCACGCAATTCTGACTTTATAACTCACAATTGTAAGAAAAAAAGTCAGAAATGTGAGAAAAAAAGTCAGAAATGTGAGATAAAAAGTCGCAATTACCTTTTTTATTTTTTATTCTGAGGCGGAAAAACATTCCACACATAACTCATTTGTACTGTGGTGTTTTTTAATGTTGCCTTAACATTTAAATGAATGTTGTAATGATCGAATTTGTGACATGAGCAAATATGAACAAAACTAACTGTAATAACTGTACTGTGAATGCTGCTTTTTGTAGAACAAAATTATGTCACCGGCATACATTTATTTTACAAGGACAAAACGTTAAAATTCTGTCA